TCTCTTCTATTATTATCTACTCTTGGTATAATATATGTGTGTATATCCATAGTCACGCAACTTAAACTAATTAAAGCTTTTACTCGCTCTCTTTGACTCAAATTCCTCTCCTAATTCCCCCTCCATTACTCATTTCCTATATCAACTGACCCCTCTCTCTTATTTGATGTATCTAGACACTCTTCTTAGCTTTAAAAGGCCAAAGCTTATACTGCTACATGCTCTTTCCCTTTCCCTCTCGTTACATGGTCCATTGTCTTCGGTCTACCTTTTATAGTAACCTTTTATGTGTCGCCTTACTTTGTGAATTCTGTTTGGCCATTCCTTCAAAGGCTACAAAACTAGCTTGCATGTAATGATGGTATTTTGTATACATGTGCATGGCATGCTTTTAACATGTGCAGTGCATGCACTGTATTTAAATACAGCATGCTTTTCTCATGCATAAGTATATGTACAGCTATGTATTGTAGTCGGTGTGTCATTTTTGAAATTAGCAGCTGTTTCATGAACATTATGTAACATAATTTATTATTATTATTCCACATATTTTGTCTCCTTTGAGGTGTTCGTATGATAATTACCCTACCCTGAATCTCAGGGTTATACTTATAGAAGGTGTAATTACCTGTGTACATGTACATGTATATGCATGTATCAGGTTAATATATTTTTAGCAATAATTATAGTCAAACCTGTTTATTCCGGACACCTTGGGACCCAATAATACCCTAGCTCCTGATTATGAACCTGTCCTTATTTCAGAGGTTCATTAATACACATTACTATTGTATTGGTACTGATACTACCCCTCCTCATTATAGAGGCCTCCTTATTTTAGAGTGTCCACAATAGCAGGTGATACTGTACTAATTACTGCATATTTTTACTGATTTTTCATACATTCGAATAAGCAGCTGGTTCCAATTAGTTGTTTAAAATTCAATAATGAAAACAATAACGGAATTATTTTCATGTACATATGCAAATCATATTAAATTTGATCCACCCAATCGTGTATGTTCATATGCAGCTGTAATGTCCATTCAAACTAATAACCAGTCACTATAGTGTGTAGGGACTACTGACGCCAGCCAATTAAACCCACTATTGTTAGTTTACTGCATTTCATTACGTTTATATATTGTTATTCTTAGCGAAAGGCGTCCCAGCCATGAAGATCAGTTTAATCTAGTTAGGAACACTTGATCTGAGGCTGTAGTTATGCTGGGTGTGCTCTTGCCTTTCTAATCAACACATTGGTATTATGTGAAGTAATGGGGAATTCTGTCTGTCTGTCTGTCTATACGTAGCAGTGACCTGACATACCATTAGGTGTCATAGCGTGACCATTATTAAATTCTGATATCTTTATTCTATATTATTTCTTCTTTTTATTTGATTTTCTCTCTCTCTCTCTCTCTCCTACACTCTCTCTCTCTCTCTCTCTCTCTGCTTTCCTAATCTTACAATAAACTAGATATTATGGTCTATATATTATACATGTCTGACTGTCTGTCTCACAGCTAGCTGATATTAAAATGTGTTGATTCCCTCCTTACCTTATAAATTATTTATCCATGCAGTTTAAATGATTCTCATAGCAGCTGTTACTGACCATTGTTTCTGGGCGTGTTTGTATGTACATGTACATGTACATGTATCTAATTGGCACATGTACATGTACAACTAGTGAGAGGTAAATTCTCAGGATAATCCATACATGTGTCCTGTCATCCACACACATGATTTCTCGTGTGCACAATAATATTGTCATATGTTGCTAGGATCTTATAGTAATATCTCATGCGTGTGTGTGTGTGTGTGTGTGTATACATGTATTTTCATAAATATTTCTGTTGCTAGGCTCCTGTAGTGATAGAAGAGAAATGATCACACATAAGGAGCGTGTCTTAAATATTATAGTAGTCACAGTCTGCATGTACATGTATGCCTATTATATCTATTGCGTGTCCTTTTCTTGGTAGAGTATTCTTAGTTGGTGTCTGGGTTTGTTTAATTTATACAAAATTGATTTTTTTGCTATAGCTCCAAGGCTTTAGGCTGTGGGTTTGTTATATCATGTACACTGTGGTATGAGTGTTTGTTTGTGCGGTAGTTGAGAGTGTTCTTGGACTGTGACTTGTTTTTAAAACCCGGTTTAGAGAACCCAGTTTTTGTATGGAGCCTTTACATG